TACGGTCCACCCATGTCAAACGTGGAAACTGTTCGCCTCAATCTCATTTACTGAACAGTTTTCAGATTTACATGGAAATTAGTAGTTGTTGTAAAATGCCTAGATGAGCAGCCACAGAATCAGAAATCGAAAGAGCAGTGACAACTTCGGGTTCTTTAATTTTCCTTCCCATAAACTCTGCTCTCAACGTCACGCTCCCTTTAAATACCGTTCTCTCTTTTTCAAAGCAATAAAAACCGATGAAATCGGAATGAGAAATCATTAGTCGTAAATTCGTCACTCGGATTGTTATCCCTCGCATAATTTTCCGCGGCCACCAACTATTTATACCAAGGTTGTTCGCGCGTGTGAGTGCACCGTTGCACATACACGCTTTGCACGCGTTGACCCGCGTCGGCGTATCCGCATCGTTCAATGGAAATTTCGCTGTGCAAAACCCGGTCAACCGCGGCCACCCTCTATGCATACCTATTCGTACCTCGGGTGCAATCTTCTGCATACACTTCGGCCCTGCCGTAGGCATGATTGATTCTTCCGCAAGAGATGCGTTTCTGGAAAATTATCATGCCGAAACAAAAGTATAATTCTATCGACTGTTGGAATATAAGAAGAACCTAGACAACAGAGATCCAAAAATGTGTCCACTCGCAGCAATTTCCACGTGGTGAAACCTGGTAATCGATATAACTCGCGACGGAAGATTGTTCGAACAATAAAGTGCAACTTCTTAGACATAAGACTGAAATTTTATTCATTTTTCCCAGATATTTGGAAGACGATGCGAGGGACTTGTATAGGTTTGCTATGGACGTTGTACATAAAGTGATACTTGAAAAGAATTTTAATTCGTTTTCTACAAGTGAAACGAATTACATTTGCACAGAAAATGCACATCCACCCCATATTATTCCTTAAAATAAGCGCGAGTGGCTTACTATTCCTCTGTGCGAGCATAACAAAATGAAAAGAAAGGTAGCGGGAACGCATAGCAGGGGATACGCCTGGTTCATTTAACCCGTGCCATGATTTCTCTCTGACCGACTGGTCACAAGGGCGCAGTAACGCACTAATGAAGTATTTACTATTCTATTACTACGTACAGCGAATTCTCCATCCTATATCGTTCTATGGCTCCTCTCCGACCCCATTTTCTCGTTTGCGTTTCCTCCTGAATCCCTGTGGCTTAAACCAGCCAACTACGATTATAGAGTCGCGAACAGTCTTAACTATTCTGCTTTAGATTTTGAAGCAACTTCTTCAACTCACCATCAAGGAAACAATCATCTCAGTAGTATAAAAACAAATAAATGTCGAAGAGTGTTTAATTTTACAAAGTGTCAAAAGTATCGTTAGTTGTTCCTTGTTGCGAAATCTTTGGGTGTATCCTGGGATGATGACTGCGTCTCTGGGTGACGTTGTCAGCGTTCTGTTTGCCTTCAGCAGTCGCATTGCGTCTTGCAGGGAAAGTGCATCGAATGCTCTATCGATTTACAAAAGAAACTCCTCCTGGGGCTTCATCGTTTGACCCCGAATATGTAACAACGTCAGAGCATAGCTGGCAACAATCAGGTATCTGTGCCTTCATGCACGCAGCCCGTTGTACGCGCTCGCCTGCAGCGTTAACTCTGACGAGGGTCTCTTTCTTTCACTCTGGTGTATACCTTCTCGTTTAATAATAGAAACGTAGTTATTAATTCTGTGCCTTTCTAAAGTAGACTCCCTATTTATCTATTAAGAATAACCGTATGACTTTTGGACTATCAAGTATTCATCTACCATCGATACCTTTTTGCAACTACCGAAAACAACTTGACAGAATCAAGAAGTAAACTAAATAAATGATAAAAACTAGTAGCTGGGCTAAGGGAATTTCTTTATTAACTTTTTAGCTACAGCTGGACTTTTAAACCAGAGTTACTAATGATTGAATATAAATTCACAGTTATTTTAGCTGTGGTGCACCATCGTACGTTTTTTATGGGCACATCAACGGATAGGTAGGATTTGCCAGAAACTCGGTTCACGCTAACGAGAGACCAGCCGACAGGATCGAGCTGTCGGTTCGAATCAATCAAGCTCGTGATCTAGCCGAGCCCCCTAACCGCGAAAACGAAACTTTCGCGGACAGTTTAATGGCAATATCATTATTGCAACCGGTCGTTATTCACTCTAACAAACTGTGCGCCGCGATACATTAATCTCCTGGGACAATGCATCACCGGAGTGCAGTGCTTTCCAGTGCACCGTGCCGTTGCATGTACACGGTATACGCTAAATGATGCATTCTCTATACCTGAGGATACAGATTCGACTCCGCCGATAAGGTCATTTTCAAGAGGATCGTTTTGGATCCTCCGTTGGATCGTTGGATGGTGCAAGTTCGATGTATCAAGATGGCTGAGAGCCTCTGAGGGCATATTTATTTCACGAACCCATAACCCAGGCTACGTTACTGTTTGGCTATAATGTTCCTCTGTAGACCAAAGATCAACTTTAATTCGTTTGCTTGAGCTAGCCATCTATTTTTCAGAAACGTAGTCAGTTCAACGAATCGCGATAGACACTCGTGAATATTCGTGCCAATGTTTCGTGGGTTCTGTATTCGATAGTTTTGCATCAATAGACCTTAGCTCTAAGCTAGTCATCTGACCGATCGCAACCTTACATGTTTCGTGTAACGTAGGATTATTCCCGTTTCTCTAAATGAATAATCCTCCCTTCGTGGTCCATCCGAGTGTTAAGAATATATCTAGTGAAAAAATGTTCGTGCGCCACTTGCCAAACTCTTTGTAAGTCGCAAGAGCGTGCAAAGGAGACCGCGGAAGCTGTTGCTTTAACGTATATTTTCACTTTCATGCAACGAAAGCGCCCCAGCGGCTTCCGTCTTTTTACTTCCCCAAGCGGATCCGCAACTTAAGACCGCCTTTACGCAAAATTAAAGGGATATCCGGCGTGCTTCGCAGGCTTCGAAACCGCCGGGCAACTTCAGGACCCGCCAAAGGGTTTCCGTTTCCACCCTTTTTATTTCCAACGTTTCTCTTTCTCTTGGTTAATTTCACCTTCAGGAAACGGAGAACCAAACGCGTCGCACGAGAAAAACTTGATACCACTCCGCCAGAAGGAAGGTAATTGTTAATTCCTTTGATGGTAACTTCAGGCGGAAAATGTCTTCTTGAAGGTGATTAATAATTAATGGTAACCCGGTGCTGAAACTGCATTATATTACAGCTAAAAGGCATTAAATATGCATCATTCCGGATTAACGTGCTCCGAAGGATATTTCTTTTTCAATTTTCCCTCGCGGTACTCCAACTGTGGGTACTGTATACCCGAAACTACTTGGTTTTTTTTTTTGCAATAAAATGTATGTAACTTTGTATTTTATTCGATCGAGAGAAAATTAGAATAAGGATAAATATTCCTTTCGTGTATTTCTTTTCAAGAATGCTTCTTGCAAGATTACAGTGTGGGTATATTTACTCTGCAAGTTTCGACTGCCATAAGCGCGAAGCGAATCGGGGACACGGAAGCTATTTTTCCTGGATGAACTTCCCATGTATTATTCACACTTGGACCTCTGATATTTCACCCCTGAATGCTCTAACGGGCTCAGAAGCAGGGTGGAGGCAGGAGGTGGAGCTCGATACCCAGGATAATGTTCGACAACGGTAATCTCGGTGGAAGAGGGTGATTTCGCTTTTTCAAAAACGTCGTGTTGTGGCCAATTATACTCCAGCTTTGTTAAATGATCCCTAACCAATCGGAGAACCTATATTTTACATCGAATGACACGGATTATTTGCGCAGAAAAAGTTCCAGAAATGATTGAAACAAGGAAACCCCACGAATCCCTCTCCCCCTTAAACTTATCCCCCTAACATATCAAGAAATCCTCAGAGGACGCAGACACCCTAGCGAAATCTACGAGGCGATCGCCTGGAAATGATGGGTAAGTGGCAGGCCAGAAATACCAGGCAATCCGGTAGCCTGACACGACTAAAGATTCCAGGGAGTATATCTGCGACCTAGACGCGCACCATAGCCACGGTTACTGGTAATTACAACCCACAACCTATTTTCACGAACTAGCAAGGAGCAACTAGGAGGTATGGCGGGGTGAGGCGCAGAGAAGGTGAGGGCTGAAAGCAGGCAACACGGCATAACTAATGACGAGGAGATAAACGGCTTGGCAAACGACGCGTAACGAGCAAAGGTGCCGTGAAGATTCTGCGTGGAAACGGACCGGAAATTCCCAGGAGAAGCCCCTCGTCAGGAAATTGTTAGAACCTCGACCGGCGGAAACCGGTTCCCCAGCGCAGCTCTACAAGGAAAACACCGAAGGGGAAACAGTGAAACGCCAAGTGGGTGGCTCGTCTGTCGTCAATCGTCAATCGTCAATTGTCAATCCTCACAATTTTGATTTTACCACATTATAACAAGTATTGCTTCAGTTACATCTCTTTATGCAGTCGTTCTCAAATAATTTACCATAGTAAACGATATCACCGACTCTCATAACATTGACTCTGACCTTAACAATCTCCTGTCCTGGAGTTAAGAAAATTATTCGATCGTTAATTGTTAGTCAATCGCTTAATCAATAGTCACTCTTCGAATTTATTATTTTCTCACATTATAACAGCTATCGTAACGTTAAAATTACAATCATTCAACGATTTTAATTCAATCAATAACATAAAGCACATCTCTGTCCGCATAGACGAATAGAACCGCGGAAATGAAAATTAATCATTATCGTTAATCATTTTCTAAAATCAAGCTTACACGCATACAAAGTAAAGTGTATTAGAATCTGTTACCGTATTATCTTACAAATGTAGCTATGAACAATAAAGCAAGTCAAAGTTTTACTCTGATAATATAATCCTGTTAAATAGGAAGAAAAAACCGTCTCTGCGTCACGAAAGTTGGTCACGAGTTTTACTTTGCGCGTCGCCCATTGGAGCTATGTAATTAGATAGCCGGTATCATTTGTTTGAACAGTTTACCGACCAGTACGCAACGAGTTTCGTGACGAGTAAGTACAAGTACAGGTTCCTGGAGAAATGAACAGAACACAGTTTCGATGCTCCAAATCGGAGAATCTCGTACGTTGGTCAGTGATTCTGTTGTTTCTGGCCGTGAGTGGTCTTCATGCTCGGACAACCAGAATCCAGACCAAATTTGGCACGATCGAAGGGTTATGGAGCAGGAGCACCAGAGGAAGGCTCGTGGCGCACTACCTGGGAATCCCTTATGCGGAGCCACCCATTGGCTACCTGAGATTCAAGGTGCGTTTACAAATTTTTTAATAATCCATAGCACAGTAAAGCTTCCCATATCTGCACTAATTGAGGGATGAAATATTATATTATATGAAATTTCGATGTTACTTATGACATCTCACCATCACGATTCATTTTATTAGTTATTATCTTATCTACTTAATTAGATACATAGTTTCAAGGCATAATTGCGAAAATGCTAATTATATCTGGAAGGTATTACCTCGTATCTCTTCCAGACTTTACTATTGTTCTCTGTTTTATCTGAGATATCAATTGAAAAAATGTTAGCTGCTTTCCTGCCTTGTTGTTTCTTTGTGAATTATAAAAAGGAATATTATTTTTGTTCAAATGCACCTACCCACTTACCAATTTAGAATTACTAAGTAGATAAATAGTGCTTTTAATGAGTTCTTTGACATTTGATAATAAGTGCATATCTTTAAATATGTAAATTTACAATATGTTTATCATGTGTTTTTCATACATATAGATTGTCATGTACTTGTCATATAATTACATATTTCTTGCAACTTTTGTTTAACAGGGTCCACAACCTTGGTCCCGGACGTGGAATACTACGTACTATGCCACAAAAGATGGCTCACCGTGCATTCAAAGAGGTTCTAACAAAGAAGTTGTGGGCAGCGAGGACTGTTTATACCTTAACGTTTATGTACCTATAGTAAGCATCAACAAACCATACTACAAAAATAATTTGCTTAAGAATTGATCATAGAAACGTGACACAAGCGATGTGAAACACGAGACCGATTAGATTAGAGCGCAAGGTTAACGCGCCGTTCAGATAAATGTACACAATTCAAGGTGACGTTGTCATACCTCAATTACCGGTCTGAAAAGTCTTTGAATATTTTGCGTCCAAACAATTCGAGCATTCGAACATAAAATGAAGTCATCATATTTAAGTTGTACTGTACTTTTCAAAATTTGGTTCGAGTTGGTAATGCTACTTATTTCCTCTTCACTCTAAACTGGCAAGGGACAATTGTCACACCCCGGTTTTGATAAAATAAAAATCCTATCGAAAACGGTCCTTGAATGTTGCCAAGGATCCTAACTACCTTCCACGAGTGTCAGAGTGGAGTAATTATATGCAGAATATTGATTAATTAATGATAATTACGATGACAGGTGGTGTAGTCAGAACAACTTTGGAACTAT